ATACAAAAATAGTTGGGGACTTTGACGCTCCACTGTCAGCAATAGACAGATAGTCTAAACAGAAAATTAGCAAAGAAACATTGGATTTAAACTGGACTTTAGACCAAAACACCTGACAGACATTTACAGAATAGTTCATCTAACTGCCACAGAATACATATTCTTCTCATCAGCACACAGAGCATTCTGCAGGGTAGACCATACGTTAGGCCACAAAACAAGTCTCAAAAATTTTTAAATTTGAAATCATGTCAAGTATCTTCTCAGGCCACAATGAAATAAAACTAGAAATCAATAACAATGGGAACTTCAGAAACTGTAAAAATACATGGAAAGTAAACATGCTTCTGAACAAAAAGTGGCTCAATGAGGAAAGTAAGGAAGAAATAATAAAATTTCTTAAAACAAATGAAAATAGAAGCATAACATACCAAAATCTATGGGAGACAGCAGAAGCAGTGCTAAGAGAGAAGCTTATAATAATAAATACCTACACCAAAAAGGTAGAAAGATTTCACATAAATAATCTAATGATGCACCCTAAGGAACTAGAAAAGCAAGAACAAACCAAACCCAAAAGTAGTAGAAGGAAAGAAATAAGATCAGAGCAGAATTACATGAAATAGAAACAACACACACACACACACACACACACACACACACACACACACACACACGAAGGATCAACAAAATAAAGAGTTGATTTTCTGAAAGATAAACAAAATCAATAAATCACTAGCTACACTAACAAAGAATAAAGGAGCAAAGCCTCCAATAAACAAAATTAAAAAAATATGAAAGATCATCAGAGACTATATGAACAACTATGAACACTAACAAACTGGAAACTTTAGAAGAAACAGATAAATTACTGAACACATACAACTTACCAAGATGGATCCAGAAAGAAATAGAAAACTTGAACAGATCAACACGAAAAATCAAGGAAACGTGATGCCTTCAAAGGAACACAATAATTATTCAGTAAAAGATCTCCAAGAGAAAGGAAATTATAAGTCTCCTAATGAAGAAAAGTCCAGCACCAAATAGCTTCACTGCCAAATTCTGCCAAACTTCCAGAAAGAACTAACACCAATTCTCTTCAAACTATTCCAAACAATGGAAGGGGACGGAATTCTCCCTAGCTCATCCTATGCGACCAGCATTATCCTGATATCAAAACCAAACAAGGATACAACAGAAAGAAAACTACAGACAAATATCCTTCTGAACATAGAGGAAAAGAATCCTCAACAAAATGTTAGGAAGTCAAATCCAATAGCACATCAAAAGTGTAATACACCATAATCAAGTGGGATTTACCTCAGGGATGCAAGGATGGATCAACATATAAAAATCAATACACATAACAGATCACATCACGAGAATGAAGGACAAAAACTACATGATCATCTCAATTGCTGTAGAAAAATTATTTGATAAGATTCAACCTCCTTTTATGATAAAAACTCTCAACAGATAAGGCATAGAAGGAGCATACATAATAAAGGTCACATATGAAAAACCCCAGCCTGGCCAACATGGTGAAATCCTGTGTCTACTAAAAATACAAAATTAGCTGGGCATGGTGGTGCATGCCTGTAATCCCAACTACTCTGGAGGTTGAAGCGGCAGAATTGCTTGAATCCTGAAGGCGGAGGTTTTAGTGAGCCAAGATTGCACCACTGCACTCCAGTCTGGGTGACAGAGTGAGACCAAAAGAAAGGAGAGAGACACAGAGAGAGAGACAGAGAGAGAGAGAGAGAGAGAGATCCATAGCTGACATCATACTGAATGAAGAAAAGCTCAAAGCCTGTCCTCTAAGAACTGGAACAAGCTAAGTATGCCTACTTTCACCACTCCTATTCACTTAGTACTGGAAGTTCTAGCCAGAGCAATCAGGCAAGAGAAAGACATTTAAAAAAAAAAAAAAAAAAAAAAAAAAAAGCACTCAAATTAGAAAAAAGGAACTCAAGCTGTTCTTTTTTTGCAGATGGCATGATCTTATACCTAGAAAAACTGAAGACTCCACTTAAAGCTCTTAGATCTGATAAATTCAGTAAAGTTGCAGAATACAAAATCAACGTACAAAATTAGTAGCATTTTTAAACGTCAATAATGAACTAGCTGAAAAAAGAAATAAAGGTAATCCCATTTACAATAGCTACAACAAATAATACCTAGGAATACGTTTAACAATGAGGTAAAAGTCCTCTCAAGAAAAACAGCAAAACATGGATAAAATAAATTAAAACAACAATGGAAAGACATCTCATGATCATGAATAGGAAGAATATTGCTAAAATGTTCCTAAAGCAATCTACACATTTAATGCAATTCCTATCAAAATGCCAGTGTCAGTTTTTTACAGAAATATAAAGAATAATCCTAAAATCTATATGGAACCAAGAAAGAGCCCAAAAGCAAAAGCAGTCCTGAGCAAAAAGAACAAAGTAGGAGGCATCACACTACCTGACTTTAAAATATATTACAAGGCTATAGTAACTAAAGTAGCATAATATTGGTATAAAAACAGACACATATACAAAGTGTAACAAAATAGAGAATTCAGAATCAGATTTATGCATTGACAGCAAACTGATCCTCAACAAAGTTGCCAAAAATATACGTTAGGGAAAGGATGGTCTCTTTAATATATAGTACTGCAGAAATTAGGTGTCCATATGCAGGAGAATAAAAATGGACCCCTTTCTCTCACCATACACAAAATTCAATTTAAAATAGATTAAGGACTTAAACATAAGACCCAAAACTATAAAACTACTAGAAGAAAACACACAGTAAATGCTCCAAGACATTGGTCTAAGCAAAGATATTATGGCTAAGACTTCAAAAGCACAAATGACCGAAAGAAAAATAGACAAATGAGACTATATTAAACAAAAAATCTTCAGCACAGCAAATGAAACAATCAACAGAGTGAAGAGACAACGTTGAAGAAAATATTTGCAAATTATTCAGCTGACAAGGGACTACTGTCTAGAATATACAAGGAACTGAAACAACTCAACAGTTGCTTGAAACAAATAATCACATTTTTTAATGGGCAAAGGATATGAAAAGACAGTTCTCAAAGAAGATATACAGGTGGCCAACAGGTATATAAAAGAATGTTCAACATCACTAATTATCAGGGAAATGCAAATCAAAACCATGATTAGATTTCATCTTACCCAAGTTAGAATGGCTGTTATTAGAAAACAAAAAATAACAGGTGCTGGCAAGAATGTGAAGAAAAGAAAATTCTTATACACTTTTGGTGGGGATATAAATTAATTCAGCCACTATAGAAAACAGCATAGCAATTTCTCAAAAACTAAAGAAAAAGGAATGCCACATGATTTGGCAATTCCACAACTGGGTAGTCACCCAAAGGAAAGGAAGTCAGCATATGAAAGAGATACCTGTACCCCCATGTTTATTGCAGCACTGTTTACAGTAGCAAAAATACAGAATCCACTGAAGTGTCTATCAACCAACAAATGGATAAAGAAAATGTAATATGTTTATACAATGTAATACTATTCTTCCATAAAAAAATGAAATCATGTTATTTACAGCAATGTGTATGGAACCAGAGGTCATTATATTAACTGAAATAAGCCAAGCACAGAAAGACAAATATTACATATTCTCATTCATATGTGGGAGTTGATCTCATGGAGATAAGAGTAAAATGATGGCTCTCAGATGCTGGGGATGGGGATGGGGAGTTGAAGAATAGCTGGTTAATAGGTACAAACATACAGTTAGATAGAAGGAATAAGTTTCAGTGCTTAACAGAACAGAAGGGCGACTATAGTTAACAACAATGTATTGCATATTTCCAAATAACTAGCAGAGAAGATTTGAAATGTTCACAACACAAAGAAATGATAAATCTCTGAAGTGACAGATAACCTAATTACCCTGATTTGATCATTACACATCAGATGCATGTATCAAAATATAATGTGTTCCATAAATATGTATATTTTTATATATTAATAAAAATTATATGTATATATGCACACACAATAGAAGCCTCAAGGAAATTATTAACATATTCTGAACTCAATGAAAAAATATAACATATCATCATTTTAAAATTAAACATATACATACCATATGATCCAGCCATTCCACTCAGATATTTACCTGCAAAAATAAAAGAAAACTATGTTCATCAATGGCCTATATATGAATGTCCTTAGGCTCTTTATTTGTAATTGCCAAATATAGAAACAACCCAAATATCTATCAACAGGTGAATAAATCAACAAAGTTTGGTATAGTCACACAATGAAATACTACCTACAATGAAAAGGGATATACATATTCATTAAATTTAATAGAAAAGAATGAACTATTAAAATATACAAAAAATATAGGTAAATTTCAAAACTATTATGCTGAGGGAAATAAACCAGGCAAAAGAAGTAAATATGATTCCATTTTATAAAATTCTAGAAAATGCAAATTAATCTATAGTGACAGATCAGTGGTTGCCTGGGAATGGAGAGTGGGGTAAGGAGGGGAGAGAGGGAGGGGTTACAAAAGGACTCAGACTTTTAGAGGTGAGGGTTATGTTCACTCTCTTAATTATGGTGACAGTTTCATGGGTGTATGAATATATCAAAATGTATCAAAATTATGTATTTTTAAATATATGCAGTTATTGTATATCAACCTACACAAAGCTGCTAAAAATAAAAATGAATCAGTGACATTCATGTGAACTTGTACAATCTGAGTTGGTTTTCAAAAGATCTTGCCGAACTCGGGATCTGACCATAAGCAACCTCTCTACCCTCCATCCACTCCACTCCTCTATAGCACACACAAGAATAAATATAAGAATTTTATCAGAGCTAGAGTCCTTCATAAAATTTTGATGGAAGGGCTAAAGCTTAAATTGATAACACCAGCTTCTAAAAAGAATCCCAAAGGAAATAGCCTAAAAGATAAATACAATCCAAAAAATAACTGTCATCCCTAACCTTTACATTTAGCGTTTTTCAGCCTATTCACTATTTCTCTCTCTGGACGATAATTAGCAGCAATGGCATCAAGTTCTCCATTATGCCATAGGATCATTTTTTAAAAATTGCCTGGATCCTCTATTAAAATGCTGGGCTGCCTCATGATTACATCATTTTCACTTTTTATTCACAATAAAAAGCTCAGACTGGGCAGTTTTATCACTTGCTTACTTTACATCTAGGGAAAAGTCATCCCCTATTTGGCAGCAAAAATAGCTAGTAACGCATTTCAGTGCTGCAGCAGGCCTTGCCTGCTAGTGGCCACACCCTGGCTTCAGGAAGGCTTTGGATATATGAAGACCATACGTGGCCATGACTCACTCAAATAAAATAATGAACCAGGCCATGAAAACTTAGAGAGAAATGTATAATTCTGTAGCCTATCTGCATCCGTTCAATTACGTTAGCATTCATGACCAATGTATTCAATTGAACATCATAATGACATTTGCTGTTCCTGGTTTTGAGTTGATTTCCTTACAGAATTAGCATTTTGTTTTTCTAATTTCAGAGCATATTGAGAACTGTTCATTACTTAACTAATCCATTATTATGAATTCTTTTTCCTAATAAGGCAGCCCCTTGTGCCCCTCCCCACATTAGATAATTCAGTTTTAAGAAAATAAATGCTTTTCAGCTTAGTGATGGGGATCAGGCCTTATGAGTACTTGAGCATTACAATCCCACCTTTCACACACAGTGAATTTCTGGTGCCTTTACACTCCTCAGCTTTTGCTGGATGGCCAAGGGAATTGTTGTGGTTAATAGTCACACAGTAATCTTTGGCAAGTGATTATTGCCATTTAGAACCCCAAGTCTCAAAGGTATTGCATTTTTCTCTTCTCATTGTTACTACTGGAGCTTTATCCCATAGTGTGTTGTGGTTATTATTACTTTTTAAAACAAGAAGTTGCTATTATCTGGCTTTGATTGAATTTCTTTAGCTTGTTCTTTCTATTGCCACATTATTAAAGGCACCAGGAAACGCTTTGTGTTTATCCTCTCTTCAACGTCAGCTTCCCCTCGATGCTGGCTGCTCAGATAAGTGAAATTTTCCAGTATTGATGTTCCCTAGTCTTCTCATTTTTTACTTCCCAGCTAATTGATCTGTCATCCTTCACTCTTCTTATTTGCAATGTCTAGGACATTTCTAAAAAGTAAAACAACAAGGCCTAAAATGAACACTTAAGAGAAGTTATAATTCTTCCCCTCCATTTTACTGGAAAGGCAGTACAGAAGGATTTGATGGCAAACTATGTTTCCATTCTTCTTAGAGAAAGAATCAAATCCCTTTGGATGACTATCTTAGCTGTAAATTTAGGTATCTTCTTCAGAATGTTACCTCAGGTTCTCCTGTAGTTTTCCTATTGGTATTGATAAAATCAATCACCGGTTCCTTGGTCAGCAGTTTATTACGCATTTGTAGAACTCTGATTTGAAATTTGCTTCTTAATATATTTGGCCGGTAACTTAGGGACTATTAGAACAAGAGATACCCTCTAGGATTTTCTGAAATCTCTATTTCTTTTAGCGATTCAGTAACCACATGTAGGGCAAAGTCATTTGCTGACCCATGAGCGTCTCAGACTGAAATTGGGCCAGATAGATGTAGACTCAATCCTGCATATCTGTACCCCTGAAACAAATAAAAATATACAATTGGACATTTCCAAAATCAGTGCCAAGCAGTTGTTTGTTAAGAGAGGGTTACTTTCGGAGATAGCTGTAGGGTTTGGAATAACACATCCCAAACTTCCCTTTCCCTTCCAAAACACAAGATAATGGACCTGCCTTACATTAATTTATCAAAACTTTTCCTAACCATATTTATATTTTCAGTCTGTATGAACTCCTGGGGTAATGGATTGAGAACCACTGTTTAAGAGGATTGATTGTGTTGCTTTGCAGGAAAGTAGAAATGGAGTGAGATGAATCATTCAGGCAGAATCATTGTGCTGCAGGCCAGATCGAAAGGCTCAGAGAGAACTCATGCCCCTCCCTGTTACAGAGCATCTGGTCATGCCTAGTTTTGGTGGGCTAAAGTAAAAATACAACTTTCTTCCAGCCAGCTGTGTTTTCCATCTTAAATGAAAACTTAACACTGAAGATATAGCTAATATGCTCAGCTAGGCAATGCAAGCCCTTAGCCTTTCTTTTGGTACAAGAAGCTGTTGACATCTTTCTGGAAAAAATATTTACTACTACCTGTGAAGTTGCTTTGTACTACTTGGTGATATCCAAGGTAAATAAAAAAGGTGTGGCTCTTGACCCTTGGGGAACTCAGTGGGTAAAAGAAGACAGACAAACAGAAGTTTACAATAGATATAAGAGATCAAGTAGCTATGCAGAGACATCAGTAAATTAAGAAGAGATGACTACATATTTACCATATATACCCTTCCTTGCAAGTACCATAGTTAGATGGATGGGAGGAGAGAGAAAGAGAGATGTTCTCTACATATGTTAAAAAACTGGGAGAAAATTTCAAGAAACTTGCTTCTAAATCTGTTAATACAAATGAAGAGATGAACAGTGTTCAGTAGATTTGCTACAAGAGGAAAGTACATACTGGGCATCACATTTTAAGAGAGTATGACATGGAGAAATAGGCAAAATCAAATAAAAATAACTGTAATGGAAATAGAAGAGGTGGAAGAAACTGCTAGTAGGGCTGTGTGTATATGGGAGAGGAGGAGATAGGAAGGATCTGGGATAATAAAGATTTCTAGTAAAGTTCTTGGGAAGTGGAATACAAGCTGGGCATCAGGACTTTTCAAAACCCTCCAGGCAATTCTAATGTGCAGCCAAGTTTGAGAACCACTGATCTGTACCATCCTACTAATGGCCACCAGATCAAGTTCTTTATTGCTTTCATTTTATTATTTCCTCTACCAAATGATCTCCCATCTTTTTTTTAACCAATTATTGGATAGATATAATCTATTCTTTATTCTTTTAACAAATAAACAGTAATAGCCATAGATAATCGCTTTATTGCTTTGAGTCTTGGGCTTTGATCTGTATGTTGAAAATAATAATAACTACTTGTAGTTTTGCTTTAAAGGTGAAAGGAGGCAACGTTTATAAATAAAGCATTTAACACAGTGCTTGCTATGGAAAATATGCAAGAACAGTAGCAATGACTGCTACTAATTCTCAACATTCTGACAGATGATCTTGCTACAGTCTTCACTCTACCCCATGAAGGCATCTTGCTAACTTCCTCCGTATCTTTGCCCATGTTGATCTTTTCCCTGATAACTGGTCCCATTCCTCAGTTTAATCCCTGCCTTTCTGAAGTTCTAACTCCTTGAAATCTTCTTAGGTCCCTATATACTTTGTCTTAAACAATCCTACCTTGTTTTAGTATCCCTAAAGACGAATTTCCCTCAATTAAGTTGGTCTTAAATTGTCTCTTCATTTTACTATGCATGTTAAGCACTGTCTCTGCAGTTACATTACAAATTTCTTGGGAGCAGATATTTGATTCTGTCATCCATGGCTGGACATAGGAAGCCTATTTATTGTGTTTAATGAAATGGTCATTCATATATAAGAGACACTTAGAAGATGGCAAGTTCCATGTGAGCAGGAACCCTGTACGCAGGATTCATCTAAATCTCCCCATGACCTAGAATAATATCTGATACATAACAAGTGCTTGTATTAGTTTGCTAGATCTGCCATAAAAAGTACAAAGATGGAAGACTTAAACAACAGAAATTTATTTTCATATAGTTCAGGAGGCTAGAAACCTGAGATCAAGGTATCAGTAGGATTGGTTTCTTCTGCGACCTCTCTCCTTGGCTTATAGGCGGCATTCTTTCTCTGGGTTTGTATCTTAATCTTCTCTTCTTATAAAGGCACCAGTAAAGTTGGATTAGGGTTCACTATAATGGCCACATTTTAACTTCATTACTTTTTTAAAGCCCCTATCTCCAAATACACAGTCTGAAGTATTGGAATTTAAGACTTCAAAACATTGAATGGACGTAGGGGAAGTATACAAATCTGCCCATAAAAATGCCCAATGAATAGTTGTTGAATGAATGAATGCCCAACATATCCTCCTTGCCTAATCCAGCATTACTGCTTAGTGTCATCTGACATTTATTAAGCAACTATTATGTTACTATCTTATGAAGTTGTGGTAGGAAGATGAGTAAGCTATGATTTCCGCGTGAAGGAGTTTACATTTTAATGGCAAAAAAACACTGCACATGATTTCAATAAACGGGAAAATAATTTAAAAGTATGAACAGGGGATATAGAAGACAGAAAGAAGCCATCTAGTCAAGCTAAGAGTTCAAGGAAGGCTTCCTTGAGGAGATAATTTCTTAAGTGAGTTTTAAAAGATGAATGAGAATTTCATAGGAAAGGCAAGAGGGCATTGATTTAGTATTAGGTGATCACACTGTCTGCAGAGTGGTAGATGGATTTAAGTCAGGGGCAGTATTAGAGGCATGGAGGAAAACAGACATAATTAACAACAGTTGAGGTGAGAGAAGAAGGGATTTGGCCCATGGTGGCAGTGCAAAGGGGTCGGCAGGTATAAGAAGCATTTACAGGATAAAATCTGCAGGCTTCCTTGGTAAGTGAATATGGGGGAGGTGGAGAAGCAGAGGCATAAAGATAGACTAGCTCAAAGAAGTATTGAAGAATTTGTGGCCATAGTTTAAAACCACCACAATTTGCAGCACATGGGAATGTGTGAGAAATGCAAATTCTTAGAGTCCATCTAGACCCACCAAATCAGAATCTCTGGGGGTAAAGCCCAGCAATCTATGTTTTAATAAGCTCTCCAGGTGATTCTGACACTGCTCACAGGCCCTGCTCTCATAATGAGAAATTTTCTCTATGTGTTCAAGAAAAAATATTTTCTTACTGTAGCTTCTTTCTAATAACTCTCATTGAATTATTCATGCCCCAGTTCTTGCTGAATATCTTCAAATCAATTAGTTGAGGGAAGGGAGACATTATGGGGGTGGTTGGGGTATGCATTCATGCGTGTGTGTGTGTGTGTGTGTGTGTGCTGGGAAAAAAAGTGGGGAGAAT